AAAAAAAAAAAAAAAGAGTCACAATGTAAGAAACTGCTAAATGTGAGAAACTGTACTCGATGACCTAGGGTAGAAATACATTTATATTTCTTTTGTAACAATAAGCATGCTGAGGAGAAAGATTTTTCAAACTAAAAATTTTTAAAATACATGCTTCTTTTTGTTCTTGAACTTAAAAATTACCATGGAAGCAATTTGGTAAATTAAATCTATTTGATCTTTTTTCCTAAAATGAAGTGCAGTAGCCAATTGGTAAAATTTAATTATAGATACTAACAATATATGATGGCTAGACAAATTTTCTTCATATGTATGAAACTTTCATTGGGTAGATATTTGGCAGCTGTTTTCTTGGCTATAAAATTATCTATTTTTGTTCTTTTTTTTGTCATGGGGCTTGATCTCAAGGCCTGGACTTTGTCCCTGAGAGTTTCTGCTCGAGGCTACTGCTCAGTCACTTTGAGCCACAACTCCACTTCCAATTTTCTGGTGGTTAATTGGGGAGATAAGAGTCTTATGGACTTTCTTGTTTCTGCTGGTTCAAACCACCATCCTCCTATCTCATTGTCCTAAGTAGCTTAGGACCACCGGTATAAGCCACCAGCACCTGGCTCATGCATTAAAATTACCTTTTTAACAAACATATTGGCTCAGAAAACTGTAATAAAGAAGAGTTACCATTTAGCAAATGAGAGGTCATCTTTTTTAATGCTCATTTTAATTAATCTGAAAAATTGTTCACTATTATACAGTAGGCTGCCTAGGTTGACCCTTACGGTCACAGTGGTGAAGCCAGAGAAAAAGAAGGAAATATACCTATGTGACTGGAATTTGTGTGTTTGTCTCTCTTAAATGAATAGAGCTGCTTTTTTAAAATAATTTTTATTGTGAAAATACTGTACAGAGGGTTACAGTTATGTGAGCCAGATAATGAGTACCTTTCTTATCAAACATTTTTGCCTCCTTTGTTTTTCCTCTACCATCCCTTCCCTCCCACCTCCACAACTATACTGCCCCCATCTCTCCCCCACCCCAGCCTAAAGGCTGCTTCTTATATGGTTTGAATTACTTAGTTACCAACTTACCAACTCCTAGAAATAAGCACCATATGTACTTTGCAGGCCATTGTACAGTATGAAAATGTAGGATCCTTTTTCTAAAAACCAATTCAGAATTTCACGGAAGTACACGATAGATCCTTAATTCAAACTTACAGCCCCTCTGAGCACAAGAGCTTGTGTGACTATGCAGGTCAAACTCCTATGAAGCCAGTCTGACTGGAATAATTTTAGAGGTACACACAAAGGAGAGGCGACTGTCTAGATCTAATTAAGGAGGCAGTACTCTATGAAATCCATAGCAAGCACAGTTTAGCTAACCAGTTTCCAGGGAAACTCTTGAAGACTTTAGTTAAAATGCAACCCAGGGGATGGATATACAGGTGATTGTTCAAGTGACCTGCTGATAATGAGCTGTGTTTGATCACTTGTTTGAGACCGCCAACACCTACTGTGCTACAAATGCAAGCTGATCTCTTGGCTGGAGTAAGGGGATGGTTTTAAGCTGATTGCTATGATCCCTGTTAGGAGGGGGGAAAAAAATCCACCACCACCAACAACCTAGGAAGTATACAATTTAAAATGCAGTATTTATGCTTGTCTGAAGGATTATCTTTAAATAGTTAATGAAACAAAGAAAATAAAATTTACTAAGATGGGTCTACTGTATTAGCTTTGTGCATATATATGTATGCATTATGTAAATCACCTCTAAGGTTTATCTTGCTTATTCATATACCAAGGCAGTAATATATTCAGATGTTTATCCTCTATCTCATGGGAGAAAATTGAAGTTAAATGAAACACATGGATTTCAGTTCTGTCAAAATCTTAAAAATAGAAGAATGAGATATTTAAAAAATAATAATAACCTTTGCTTACTGAGGAGAAACTCTGTGCTGGGTACCATATTAAACCATTTTTTTTTTTTTGGTTTTTTGTTCTTACTCATTTAACTAGAAGTCTTTCATCAGAAAGTGACCATACACCTTATTCAAACTAGGCAAAACAAAGAAACAAAAGCCTCCTTTGAGAAATGTCAAAAGCAATCATGGTTCCAGTTAACTCTGTGCTAAAATAGTGTTTGTCAGAGTTTATCTCACCACCTTTCAGTTCTGCTTTCCTTCACATTGTTAATTTGCAAATGGAAAATCTGTGTATGGCCACAGGAATGGTTCCAGCACCTCCAAATAAACAAGGCTTCAATAGCCCTGATGTAAGGAGAGTAAGATCTTCAGAAAGGGCTGGGCTTTGACTTGTGTCTGATCCAACTCTTGCATGAATCACAGAGGCTCAAGTCAAGTGGGAGCGTTTCTCCCTGAATTGGCAGTGAGGGAAACCATCCCTTCATCATGGTAGACGAAGACTAAGAAAGTTACTGTTTCCCAAAGATACCTTCGATTGATATTACCAGAAGAAAGGGATATGATTCTGGGTACTTTGTAATAGCAGATGTCCAGTGCAAAAGGCACAGTTGTGCTCCACATCCTTACACACAGCAGAGTGAGGAAAATAGTCCTTCAGTGTAACTATACATGATGTTTTTTCCCAAGGATTTGATAGCAATCTCCTAATTCAACAGAATAATAAAAAAGATTTATGGTTATGAGTACATTCAAAGAATGCTATTCTCACCACCCCTAAAAGGAAGGCATTTGATAACTCTGTTATCTTCTTCAAATGAAGGGGCATGAAGATGGCTTTATGTGATGTCAGTAATGGGCATTTTTATGACCATTTTGGAATGCATAACTCACAATGACTAATAGCTTAATGGGAACACATTAACTACTCAAAAATCATGAAATCTCAACTGTGAACTCTTGAGTATTCTGGCTATTTGTCTTTGCATCTATACTGTCTAGCTTACTGAAGCCATTCAATGATTTCTTGTTGCATTGATGAATAAAGAATGGGTGGAAGACAACACAAATTTACTTATTTATTTAGTAACAAATGATATGGACTAAGGATACTGTCAAAGTATTTTCTGTATAGAGAACTCATCATTACAAGAAAATTTTTAAAAAATGAAAATATCAATAAATCAAAGTAACTTTCTACCTTTTATTGTGAATACATCAAAATAGGTTTTGTATTATCTTTTATGGGCTCATGTGTATAGGTCTTCTTTGTATAATCTTTTATAAAGGGTATGAATAAAGTGTTACATCCTTTCAGAAGAAAATGATGGTTTGTTTTAAAATTTTCTCTCACAGTAACTTAAATATTGGGTTAAAATTAGGAGCTACTCTGCCGGGTGCCAGTGGCTCACGCCTATAATCTTACCTACTGAGGAGACTGAGATCTGAGGATCATGGTTCAAAGCCAGCCTGGGCAGCAAAGTCCGCTAGACTCTTATCTCCAATTAACTAGAAAACCTGAAGTAGTACTGTGGCTCAAGTGGTAGAGCGCTCGCCTTGAGCTGAATAGTGCAGGGATAGTGCCCAATCCCAGAGTTCAAGCCCCACGACTGACAAAAAAAAAAATAAAAATTAGGAGATACTTTTTTTTTCATTTACAGGCACTTCATATTCTTTCATGTTTTTTCATTGTTTTTGTTTTATTTTTAATTAACAGGAAATTTTATATTTTAGTATGTATGTATGTATACATATATGATGTTTTAATATATATAACTTCTAAATATTCCCTTTGTTTAAAAAATATGCGTCTCATTGTTTTTCTGTTTAATATAGATCGAGGTACCGTGCAAAAGGTTGTAGTCCTTCCTATGAACAGCTCTGCCAGTGGTGAACTCATTCTAGAGGAAATGGAAGTCTTTAAGGTTTGAGCATCTCTTCTATTAATCTTAAAACATGTGCAATGAATGCAATTCTTTAATCTCACAGCCACTTTAGAGGGAAAATATTTGACCAAAGATCAAATAAATGACTGTAATAAATTTTTGTGGGTAGGAAAACATTAGATAAAATGAGAAATCTAGAACAAATATTTTTGTGAAGTATTTTCTTAAACTGCAAGTTACTGTAACATGAAAGAATGACTTTTTCCCCTCAGCTATCATCACAACTTTAGTCATCATTATTTTGTTAAAAATGAATTGTTGTGGTGAAGGTCTAGCTGAGTTTGTCATGAAAGGGCTATTATGATTTGCATCACAGGCCACTGAAACACAAATGCTTTCACATTATTGATCGTTAGATAAGCTTTCTCATATTCTTGTAACCACTGGTTTCAAGAAAAATCACTTTGATTTTTTTCTGTTTTTATTGCTTTCACTTCAAATGGCACTCATGTTAAATGAATTTTTCTTTTTGTTTTAAATTTGTGACTGATAAAAGAAAAGAAAGAACAAAACAACTATTAAATGGTACAAGGAGGAAGGTTCAATTCTATAAGTTCTTGTCTGCTTAGGGCAGAGTGCCTATTCACTACATCCCTGTGTCAAGAGAGGGGATTTGTTGTGTCCTGCCTTGTCCTTTTCTTCTTAAAATCACCTTAGTTCAAGTGGTCCTTTTTATCTTTACTTGGAAAGATAGTTAAAACACAGGGAGAGGAACTGTCAGAATTGTAAAGAAACCTTGGCAAGAAATCTTCTTATTGAAGGACCAGTATTTCTAACTAAACCAATTAAGAAACAATAACTCAGGGACAACAAAAGAGCAAAGGTAGCCTATGGTTGAGTTAAAGTTCAGACCTCCCAGAACCAGAACATTTTTAATCCACTAAGTTGCTTTACTAGCTGAATGGATTCAGTATCTTTTGTACATTACTAAGGTCATTAAAAGATTGAATTAATAAGCATATAAATAGTAAAGATACAATACTGTCAGATTTGTTAATCCATAGTAAAAGCAAAGAAATACAAAAAAAATAAGCACATCAATAAGTAGTTGGGGAGATCTGGTAACTTTCCCTGTGTGTTATTAAATGAACAATGTTAGGCAGAGTTTGACATTCAGTTCTTTTGATTAGTACACTAAAATTGTGACCATAAAATAACATGTGACCATAAAATAAAATCTATAAAATTAGCTGTTCTTCTATTTTTTACTTTTTTAAGAAATGATCATTTCATTATGTTTTAGCTATTCAGCTAAGTAGGAATGATTTGTGTCAGGCCTAAGTAATATAAAGTGTCTTATTCTTGAGGCTTCTTAAGATAGAAAAATGCTTTATTGTGTCACTTCATTTTTAATACTGGCATATCTTTTCTTGATTGTTGGGAAATGTTAATTAAGTGAATATGATACAATCCCAAACATATGTTATGAAAACATCTCAAAAGAAATGTGAGTTAATCTGACCAAGTGAGAACAACTGATGGTCTGTTACATGAATTTTTCTGTTGTTATCATCATGAAGAATAAACTCTCAGTGGAAAAAGAGAATCAGTCAGAATGTATGTGGGGTACATCATCCCAAGAGATAGATTAAATCTACACGAGCCTCTTCACTGATACAGGTGCCAGTGATGAATAGAACAAAAATTAAGAGACACAGTTACCAAATATAGTAACTGTCTGCAGCCTGGTGTTTGTGTCATAGTTTCTGAGGTGAGGTAAAAAGTAATTGGGTGTGCATGATCCACTTTGATGAACATGTGAAGAAATCATGTATTTAAGTTGGAAAAAAAAATCCTTAGCTAAGTGTCATGTTGAGATACTACAGAAAACTTAATATAACTGTTAAAAATAAAAACCCACCAAATAACAGGCACTTAGTTTTGATACAGTACAGAAATTTCATCTCTTCATTTCACTTGGTTCATTTTCTGAGACTGAGTCTGATTTCTCTGAGTTTAACTTGAATTAAAATACCATTGTTAGGGGTTACCTCATTGATTCTCAGTTGCAACATGTGTGTGTGTGTGTGTGTGTGTGTGTGTGTGTTTCTAAAGTGCAAAATAAACAATTTTCTCTTTTTAAGTATTTGATATACATATGCATCATAGGCACCTCCTTTTTTAGGTGTTATAATGAATGTAAGCTAAGTCCCTAACAAAGAAACATAACTTATTGAACAGTGTATATACTGAGAGAAAGATGATGATTTTTAGAGTTTTTATAAATTAAAATACTTTGATGTAAAATAGTTTCTAAAGGTCATGAGAACAATTAACATAATTTTTTCTAATTTTTTGTAGGCTCATGTGCCAATAACAACAATGAAAATCTCATCCAAAAAGGTAAAACCTAATCCACTTTTATATTCTTTGCATGTTCAAATAGCTTATTATTGTTTGCTATTCTAAAAAATATATTTCTTAACTTAAGAAAATTTAGTTTTGCTGTGAAAAATATTTAATACCGCTTAAAGTATATCATAAAATCACCTTTCATTTTGACATAGACATTAGCAATAGCTCAAATATATTTATTTTTGTATAAAATTTCATCAGAGCCAGTCACTGATGGCGCACACCTGTAATCCTAGCTACTCAGAAGGCTGAGACCTGAGGATCATGGTTTGAAGCCAGCCCAGGCAAGGAAAGTCCGTGAGACTCTTATCTCTAATTAATTTCCAGAAAACCAGAAGTGTCATTGTGGCTCAAGTAGTAGAGAGCTTGCCTTGAGCTGAAGAGCTCAGGGATAGCAACCAGGCCCAGAGTTCAAACCCCACAACCAACAAAAAGAAAAAAGAAAAGAAGGAAAAGAGAAAAAAGTTCATAAATTACATTGTTAAATGGCAACTTCTTTGTACAAGTACTTAAAGATAATAATAAATAATAGAAATGTTCATCAGATCACTAGATACATACAGAAATATATTACAATATTTTATATTATAGTGTATAAAGCCAACTAAAATAAAAGTCATCTTCCAAAGAAAGAATTTATCATAATATTTGGGCTACTATAATTCTCAGGGGCTTGGAATGCGTAATCAATCCTCCTTTGAATTTTTACTTCTGTCACAAGTTTGAAATATGCAATGCATTCTTCTATGGTTATTTTTAAGGCAAATCTATTCCCTAGGGTTGATACATGTCTGAAAAAATATGAATCATGAATATTCTAAGTCAGGATTTGAAGAACAAATCTATGATAATTACCTTAATTCTTTAAAATTTAATGTTTACTTAAAAGCAAATACACAGCAATCATTGCAAAGAAGAGCACATTTCCAATCTTTCCAGCCCTTAAGAGTATTAGATTAACAAAGTTCTCCAGAATTGAGTATTGTAGTCCAGGGTGGAGTTCAGATTTGGATTGAGATTTATCTGAAGCTCAACCTGACTGTTAGTTAGGGACAAATTGCTTAAGTTCTCTGTCCTATATTCCACACCTGCCATATGACACTTTTCTCACAAGTTAACTTATATAATCACTTAAGGTAAAGTGGGTGCTTAGCAAATGTTGTCTATCAGAGGCTGAGATTCATTTTTTTTGGAATGGAGAATAAAGGTTTTATATGTTTGTACAACTGATTTGATAATTTCAGTATTGTTTACCATATTTGGTCTGTTAGAAATGATGCAGTATTCCAAAGTCAGCCTTGTTCTCTTTTCACTTGAATAAATTTTATGAGCAAAAATAAATAGTGTATGATAAAGCTGAAGATCTCATCTGTAAAAATGTTTGCATGGTGTATAAGAAACATTTTCCCAAGTCACAAGGAGCAATTCATCACTTTGCTTAATGTCCTAGGGAGCTGATTACAAGTCAGAATTGTCTTTGAAGTTAGCAGGGAAGCCCTTTGTTTACAGTGGACTAATAGAAAAAGAAAATATTATCAAAGCAAAATTTAAAATGGACATGAAGCCATTGTGGCACAGCTGTATTACATACAATTCCAGGTATTATTCTATTTGCAGTTAACACATTACACTGGTTTTCTACATCTTACATTCCACTTAGTAAAAATACTTCTTTAGAACTATTGAAGTTGGTTGGGGTTGGAGGCATAGCTGATTTGGTAGAGCACCAGCTAATGAATGAGAATGACAGCTACTAACACAGTCTCAGACCTAAAAGAAAAGAAAAAGAACCGTAAACAATTAAAGTTAGGACAATGGTGATTATTTGAGTTTTGAAATGCCTTTGTTCAACTGCATTCTCTTATTATATAAGAGAAGGACAATTTGTGAAAGAGAAATTGTACAGTCATTATATATGCATATGTGCACACATATATAATGCAATCTTATGTAACATATAACAAAAATAAATGAAATAATCAAAAGCATACTGTAGTCAGGTTGGTAGTGACCTATGCCTTATAACTAGCTATTCAGAGAGCCAAGACCTGAGAGTTGAAGTTCAAACCCAGCCCAGTCAGGAAAGTTCTTGAGACTCTAGTCTCCAATTAACCACCAAAAAGCTAAAAGTAGAGCTGTGGTTCAAATGCTAGAGTGCACGCCTTGAGCAAAAAAGCTTAGGGATAGCAACTCAACCCTGAGTTCAAGCCCCAGAATCAGCACACACACATATACAAAAACAAATTCCAATAATACCACTTGTGTCATTTTCTCAAATAGCTGACTCTGATTAAAGTAGTTGATTGAAGAATATAGTCACTATGTAATTTTTTAAAAATTTACTTAATAAACAATTATTTCAAATGTTTCTGGATAAATGATTGCTATAACCATTATTGTAATAAAATTGTTATCCAAAAACAAATGTACGCTTTACCTGACTTATGTAACTGTAAGCCCTTTGTGAATTACCATATAATAACAATAATATTTTAAGAGATTATTAAAAAAACTATAAGAAAATGGGTTTTCCTATTATCTGAACCCCCAAGTAGGAATCAAATTTAGAAAATTTTCTGAAAAAATCCATTATTCAGAATAAAATAATTATGTTAGACAGAGTAAAAGAGTCCAAATGACTGGCTAGGATTGAACACTTATAGATAGTTTATTAATTAGTGTTTTACTCTATTGTTTTAATCAATTAATATTTATTGGACACCTACAGACTAGAAACTATTCTAAGTATTTCATGTGATAATGCCCTTACAATATTAATCTCTTAACAAAAACGAAACAAAACAAAAATCTTCTATCAGGGTAAGTGTTATGTTGTCCCAATGTTAATAATAAGGAAGCTGAGTTTGAGAAAAGTTGCACATCAGATTTGTGGCTGAGCTGAGTTTGGAACTAGGGGAGTCTGCCTGCCAAGTTCCAGAGCAGACACCTCTGTAGGTATAATTCTTAAATGTGTATATACATATGGGAAGGGCCCACACTTTCTACCATCCATGTGTATTTAAGTTCCATCTCCAGAATTCCATGCAAACTGGAGTTACACAATATCAGTGCTTTGCACAAGAAGTAGTCACTGGAAATCCCATCTTTCAACTCCTATGAAATATCTATGCATGGCTGAAGGCCATGGAGCAGTATCTTCAGAAGCTCTCAACATCTTCCAAATGAGGAGGATAAAATCTTTATTCATGACTTTTGAGGATGGTGCAGATTAGTGGATCATGAAAAAAAATCAAAAGCATCTATTTAAATATAAGTACAGATGTTCTAAGTAATCTTAAAAGAGTCTCAGTAACTAATATGCCACTTTCAAAGTCATGCTCTGAAATGGTTTTTGTATTTCATCTAATACTTGTTATCTAATATTTTTCTTTTAGATTTAATATTTTTCTTTTAAGCTTTATTTTAAACCTGGCTTTCCTTCCAAACTTACAAAGTAATGTGTTTCCATGTTGGAAAAATAAGAAAGCTTCCTTGTACTTTGCTTAAGAGGCAGAATTCAAAGGAAATAGAAAACATTATAATTTAAACCTGCAACATATTAGTCCAAATGTGAGAGAACACTGAATCTCAGTGTCTAAAACACATTCTACAAGGTGCTCTGAGATTTTTTTTTCAGGAAAGTGGTAACGTTATAGGCACATTAACATAGAAAAGTTCTATTTGTTTTGGCTTTATATCCTTCTGCGTGCTACTTCTCATTTTCAGTGTGTTTCAGAATTAATTCAAGGGCTGCGGGTGTAGCTTGTAATGTGTTGCTGCTGAAAGGCTTCTTTTAACTTCCACATCTGAAATAAATGATCCTGGTTTCTCTCACAGCAACAGTTGTACGTGAGCTCCATTGAAGGGGTTTCCCAAGTCTCTCTGCACCGCTGTCACATGTATGGCACAGCCTGTGCAGACTGCTGCCTGGCCAGGGACCCCTACTGTGCCTGGGATGGCCATTCATGCTCCAGGTTCTATCCCACAGGGAAGCGGTGAGTGCCCAGTATTCAATGGGAAAGCGGTCAATGGGACAAGACAATACAGAAAAACACCCCATCATTAAAATCACTTGTATGGTGTAATCAACAAATGTAAAGTAGTAGCTATGATTAATACCATATAGAGTCTTCTAGTGGAGAAAATATTATGATTTATGACCTCACATTTTTTCACCCTCACTGTAAAACTTGTCCCTCCAATACCTTTAAAATATTTCAGGGAGCATAAATAGCTTTATCTTCATACTACCTAATTCTTGTTTCTTTGTTACTCTCAAGGTTTCAGTATATTTTAAGCCCCACATTCTTAGGGTTTCTAATATATACTGCTTAATTATGTTATAAATGCTTCTTATAAAAGGAAGTAGTTTTATTGGTGAGAAAAAGCATTTTCTAGAATGGAACTACCTGTGTCATTGTAGTGACTCAATCTTTGCCATAGGAAAGGTGCTCTTTGTGCTTTTCAACCTGATGAACATGTGCCTTCCTGCCTTCTTACCTGGCATGGCATGCACAAGTTTGCTGGTTTGGGTGAGAGGAAAACAGAAATCTAAGGAAGGCTATTTTTTGTTTTTGTTTGTTTTATTCCAGACAGCTCAAATACAAGTGTTGGTGTAACAGAAATGATGATTTTTTATTTCAGAGATGGAAGGTAAAAGAATACAGAGAGAGGAAACAAAACACCAGTCTGCATGAAGTTGGAAAGGACACCAGTAGAGACAGAGACACTGAATATCTGAATATATATATAAAACAAGGTCATAGCTATTTTCAATCATCCCTGGATATAGATCATGATGGATTGTAGGGATAAAAATCTATAAACCATTGATGTCAGCAAAGGGAGAAAACAATACCAGTCATTATTAGCAATGATCTTTTCAATAAAACATTAGGAATTATAGCTATAAACCTATATAGGTTTATTTTTTATTTTATTGTAAAGCTGATGAACAAAGGAGTTACATTAAGTCATGTAATAAGCACATATCTTTTTGAAGAGTATTACCATCCTCATTTTCTCCCAGTATTTCCCCCCCTTTCCTCTCAAGTTGTATAGTTCATTTCTAACATAGTGCCTAATGAGTATCACTGCTGAATTAGTTCATCCTTTGTCCTACATTTAATTTTTGTGATGGTTTACAGCATTTATTCTCTTTAGCAGATATATTTCTTTATGGACAGATTCAAATAACCCTGCACTTTCCCAAATTAAGATTTGATCTTTTCATCTATTATTTCAACATATATATATATAAGTATATATAACATATATATAAATATATATAAACCTTTATATATATAAAACCTTCATATATATATTATATATATTTTATATGTATTTATATATATATATATAAAACCTTTAAGTAGTTGTACAAAGGAGTTGCCGTTAACAAAGCTGTAGACATGTTTATAAATACAGTGTATCCAGCTCAATGCTGGACATTTTCTAGCCATTGTTTCAGAATTTGATATTATAACAAAAGACAAATATCTGTGCCTTCAGGTTTAAAATATTGTAAGGGGAGAAGATAGAAAAAAAGACAAGTACTAATGTATCAGAAAAAGGTAGGCCTATGAGTTTTAGGAGAACAGAGAAGATAAATAGAATACTTGGAAACAGAAATTTGCAGTGTTGACTGGGTAAACAAAGACTTGAAGGTGTTAGAGAATGTCATCAAGGCATTAAGTGAGAAAATACAATTCCAGGAATGTTTCCAAGAACATTGGAGTAACAGCACCAAACTTAATTAGCCTCTGAAGTAGGGAAATGGAATAGGAAGGAATGAGGTCATAGTTCTAGATGATGCAGGTCTTTATAAGAAATCAGAAAGAAAGCTTGTTTTTAGACTAAAAGTGAACATGCTGAGGGGTTTTTTTGTTGTTGTTTGTTTGCAGTACATGAGTGATAGATACTTTTGATGTTTTGCTTTGAAAAGGTCATTGGTTGGATTTTGCATTGAGTCTGAGAAGTAGGAAGAGGTTGGAGTAAGATGTGCAAAAGCTACATGCCAGAAGGCTATTGCAGTATTTCAAGTGAGATAAAATAGAGGCGTGTACAGGGTGATGGAGGGAGAGGAAGCAAGATGTGGTCTGCTTTATTTTTAGAACTCACAAAAACTGTAGCTGTAGGAGACTGGAAGTGTCAAGAGGTACTAGATCACTTTGGCTCTTTTGTATCTATGTTCAAAGATTCCATGCTATTCCATGTCATTCTTGGAGTAAGAAGGTCTATGCCTTTTAATTTTGTCTAACATCTAATTTGGGAGCCTCTTTATCATGTAATGTTTTGTATTTGTGCTCGTGGAGAGATCTTAGAAACTTGATAAAAATGTGAGAGAAGCAAATTTAAAAAAATGCTTTTTGTGAGGCCTGATGGATTTTTTAGTCATATTTGTTTTGCACTCTCAAGTATAATGATTAGCACTGGAAGTTTTACTACAAATATCTACACTATATAAATTCTCCAAATTATTTCCAAAATCAATGGAACATTACTTATAGAGGATGTAAACCATGTTTGCTGAATGAATTAACTATCTTCCAATTATCATATGCAGTGTTTATTTTCTTTACCTCATACAAGGCAGTGATAGAAATGGCAATTTGGAAGATTTTTCACATTTTCCTTCTTTAACAGTGCTAATGTAACCTGGCTGCACAATCTGCCTAGAGCAAAGCTATCACTAAGAGGTCTCATATTAATAAAAGCAAAAAGTATCTTTTTTGTATAGAAACAGGTATAGTTAACAAGCGTTTTTACTTCTCACTACTCTCTAGTACCTTAAATATTTGTGCATTTATATCAAATAATGCAATTTAGTTGTGATATTTAGTCTAGATTAAGAAACAGAGTAAGAAATTAAAGACAAGATAATCAGTTCAACCTTAAAAGAAATATCTTTCTATACAAGAAGAAAATGATTTCATTGTTTATACAAGCCATTGACCATAATGGGTAAAACCTTGGAAACTGGAGCCAACCCCTAAATTCTGTGTGCAATATAGAGTCCCCTCCCTAGAAGTGTGCTTTTGTGGTGCTGCAGGAATGACTCGAAGGCAATAGACACATACAAAAGGCTCTTGCTGGTCTCAATTAAGCCAAGCCATAATAACGGTTTCTGGGTTTGAATATTTGGCAGCTGATACTGTAAATTCAGATTGCCCAGTTTGGAATGGTTATGCTTTCAATGAGTAACCATTACATAGTGCTGATCTCAGGACAATAACTGTAACCTATGTGAATGATGTTACATGTGCAGAAAGCTGACCAGGTCAGCCATAAGAGCCCTCACAGAGTCATATAATAAAAATTTTCAAGTCAGCTGATGGTAAATGATGCTGTGACTCATGAATACAGCAAATTCAGTACAGTAAAAAATGGATATGAGTATTCATCAATTTATATGAATCATATTTTGCCACCTAACAGAGATATTTTCACTATTTGTGTATGTTTGTGTTTAAAATAACTATTTAATAGAGTAAAGATCACATTGATTTTTAGGAAAACAAATTTTTCTTTTGTTTTTCCTTTTTTTGGTCGTGGGGCTTGAACTCTGGGCCTGGGGCACTGTCCCTCAGTTCTTTAACCCAAGGATAGAACTCTACCACTTGAGCCACAGAGCCACTTCAGTTTTCTGAGTGGTTTATTGATGATAAGAGTTTCAGGGACTTTCCTACCCAGGCTGGCTTTGAACCGCAAGCCTCAGATCTCAGCCTCCTGAGTAGTTAGGATTACAGGCGTGAGCCACCAGCCCCCTGGCTACATATATTTTCTTAAGTAGAAGCATACAGTCTATTGTGAGTGAGAAACATAACATAGCTATACCAAACAAGGAAACCTTTTTTTTTTTTTACCCTGAAGCTTAGGTAATGAAAAGTTTTTACTTTAAAAATGCAGTGTTTTAAGTATTGTAAAAGGATAATTCCAATCCCATTTACATGTTTCTGTGCCTGTAGGAGGAGCCGAAGACAAGATGTGAGACATGGAAATCCACTGACTCAATGTAGAGGATTTAATCTGAAAGGTAAGGAAATGCACAGTGGTCATTCTCAGTAAACTCTATGATAATTAAAACTTACCTGTGGCCAGGAACTGGCATTTCATACCTGTGAACCTAGATATTTGGGAGAATAGTTTTTTGTTTTTGTTTTTTTTTTCTTGGTAAGGATAACAGGTTTTTTTTTTTTTTTTTTTTTGTCGGTCGTGGGGCTTGAACTCTGGGCCTGGGCGCTGTCCTTCAGCTCTTCGGCTCAAGGCGAGTGCTCTACCACTTGAGCTACAGCGCCACTGCCGGTTTTCTGGTAGTTTATTGGAGATAGGAGTCTCATGGTCTCTCCTGCCCGGGCTGGCTTTGAACCACGATCCTCAGATCTCAGCCTCCTGAGTAGCTAGGATTACAGGCGTGAGCCACCAGCGCCCGGCTAAGGATAACAGTTTGAGGACAGCCAGGGCAAAATGCTTATGAGATCCCATCTGAACCAGTAGCTGGGCTTGGTGCAGCTGCCATCCCAGTAGAGTGCCTGCCTAGTAAGCACAAAGCCCTGAGTTTAAACTGTAATGTCACAGAAACATAAGTGAATATTTTAATTGCTATTTGTATGAACACTGAGAATCAGGAAAACAAACATCCAAGAATCAAGAATATATGTCTGTGTGTGTTACTTTGTAGGTATTTCACATATATTGTAGTACATTTTCATAGCTACTCTCTCACCTGAAGGGAATTTTTTTTTTAATTTTCTATGGAATGACTGGTACTAGTAGCTCACACTTACAATTATTGCTGTTAGGGATGCTGAGAGCTAAAGGATCAAAGGTTGAGGCCAGCTCAGACAAACACACAAAAAACATGATTTTTAAAAATGTGATTTTTATCTCCAAAATATACAAGGAAAAGCCAGGCTTGGGGTCTGACTCACATGGTAGAGCATCAGCAAAGCAAGGTGAGCTAACATGGGTTCCTGAGTTCCAACACTAGTACCAGCAAAAGAAAAATGAAATTAAATGAAACACTACCACTTAAGCACATTTGTATTGTTGCACAACAATCCAGAAGACATCCTAGCTCCTGCAGATGCCAGTACTTTCCTGAACTTCTTATGAAGTTGACTTTTCTAAATACGTCACATAAGTAGGAGCATATAAAGTTTGCCCCTTCATTTTTCCATTAGTAAAATATCTTCCAGATCCATTAACATTGTAGTGTATATCAGTTTGCTTCTTGCTTAAGTCTGAATAATATTCAACTGAGTGTTAGTCATACCTTTTGTTTATCCACACATCCATTGCTGGAGGTGTGGGTTGCTTCCACACTTTGGCCATAGTGAATAGTTCCAAGTCAGAGCCTGGGTACTGGACACAGTACTACTTTGGATCTCACAATTAATATAAAACTTCCTTCCTGTCCTGACAGGGAGATACCCTGTTATTCCACTTTCCCCATTAATCTTCTGTCTCTACCCCAAGCTCATCAACCAGTAACTCCTAACAGACCTCCTTCTGCCTCACCAAGGGGCTGTCTATGTAGATCTGCTTTTAAACATTAACAAGAAGCCTCCCATTGCCCAAAGACCTGAGACCAGCCTCTCCTTTAATAAAACATGTCATTCCTGTTTACCATCTTCCCAAGCTACAGTGAGGTAATCAAGACAGATTTGGCTTCATTGTTCCGAACCACTAATGGAGGACATAAATCTGGGTTGCAACTTCCCTATTCACAGAGTTTTTGATAGAAGGCATGTCAGTTTCCATTAATCATGTCACGGTGGTAACAATAGTGGCAGTGGAGGTGACTGCAAATACACTGCTGATTTTGGCTAGGAACTGGAATTATCTCAGGTTCTTTTGATGACTATCTCAGTTAATGTTTTAACAATTATCCCAAATGATATTATATCCTGATTTATAAATGACAGTTATGTACCACATAACTATACTGTTTATGCAAATATGTATTTTTATTTAAAACATTAGAAATAGTGTATGTTATAGAAATGAGTCAAATGAAGTCACAGAGAGATGAAGTAACTTGTCTAAGCTAACACAACCACAGCTGAGGTCAAGATTTCCTCATATTTCCTCTCATTCCAAACATTGGGATCTTCACCACTAAAACTCCTCTGTGGGTACAGTAATCTCTGCTTTTATAGTTCTTCTTCACTTTCTCCATGCTACACCTAAATATGCAGTTTGGGGTGAAATAAAACCAGTTTTAGAATTGTCTGACATTTAGTAATGTTATACTCTATTTCCTCATAATTCACAACCCTTATTTGTTCATCTGAGAAAATGTCACTCATAAGCATGTTGCAATTAAATGTCAAAATTGATTTGAAGTGCAGTTGGTACCAAGGAATTCTTGAATAAATGTTAATTGCTTTATCAACATAGCCTTTCTATTAGCTTCAGAGTCTTTCTGTCCCTTTGCATTAAACGACACTAGAAAACACTGTAGAACACTTTGCTCATTAAATGAATGTCACTGTCTTCTCCTGGCTGCTGTAGTTGATACAGTTTTATATAAAGAGATAAACATCCATACAAAACAGTGTGCTTTAAATGCCACTATGTTCTTTCTTCCTGTTTTGTTCCTCAGCATATAGAAATGCAGCTGAAATTGTTCAATATGGAGTCAAAAATAACACCACGTTCCTGGAGTGTGCCCCTAAGTCTCCACAGGCATCGATAAAGTGGTTGCTACAAAAAGACAAAGACAGGAGGAAAGAGGTGAGTAGCATTGTGCCTCTGGGATCAACCAGGGCTTTGGAACAAACATTAAATCACCATCCCAAAGTGAAGTGTAGATCAAAGACCAAAGGAAAGACATATGAACATCCTTTTATGTGTCTGGCTGGACAAGAGCTACCTTTTTTTAAAACTCCTTTGTGCTTAGATTGATGGATTAATTACAAATCCTCTCTGTCTCTCTGCCCAAATCTGTAACAGAGTAATTGAAACAAGAGTTTGGGCAGTAAGACTGTAGTATTGATGTAAGGAAGCATTTGTAAAAAGAAACAAGATGTGTGCAAATCCACAGGCCAAGTTCTTACACAAGAGACCTTTGTGTGAATCACAAGATAAAAGGGGTCTTTTAACAAAGTACGGTTTTCTTCAGCAAGAAATTTACTCTGAACTATACCATTTATGGCAACAAAACATTTTTCCAGGGTGCCATAATCTGTTTACATTGCTGTATTATTCATAATTCTTAGGTTTCTCTGAGCTAATATATGGAATCCTTGTTTATGGAACCATTACCTTTTCTTATTGGTATAGAAAAAAAGTATTTCTAAGTAAAAAGACACTGTAAGCTTTCAGCGATTAGAAAGGACTACTTTAAAAGAGAGACATTGTAAAATTGTAATATACTATAAGGAATGAATTCCAAAATCTTGCTGTTGCATTTTCCAGACTAATGAGAAGAAGAAAAACATGTATACATGCATGTAATAAAGTCTTGAGGTAGTCTAAAATGTACTGTTACTAGTGCATCATAAATTCTGAAGAGCCAAGTGAAAAATAGGGCCTGCTATATCTGTGGATGTTCTGTTCTGGGAGATTTGGTTTCTTCATTTTATATCAATTAAGACTATGTAGGAGGCTTATCATCACAGCATATAGATACTGAATTGGAGTTGCTGAAACATTAGGACCATAGGAGAAAATACTTTCCAGTTTTCAGATTTGGCTATCCAAATGTGTTATGAACTGTTCAATGAAATGTTTTTCCTTCTGTTGCTAGAATATTTAACCATAGACTATGTCTACTTACATAGTTCTCTGGAGAAAAGAGAGACTAGTTGGATTTCAGAATTCATTTTCTTCTTCAGAAAGCTGTGATACGAGAGAGAGAGAGAGAGAATAAAAGCCAATATTTAAGACTAAGTATGATCGTGCATGTCTGTAATTTCCACTATGTGACAGTCATAGACAGGAGAATCCTATTTCAAGACAAGCTGAAACAAAAAGTATATCCATATATATATATATATATATATATATATATATATATATATATATACACACACACACACACAGAGAGAGAGAGAGAGAGAAGTAAGCTGCAAATGTGGTTCATATGGTTGAATATCCAGTAAATGTGAGATTCTTAGTTCAAACCACAGTGCCATATATATACATATATATGTATATATGAAAAGAAAATACTCTCTACACTAGGAAAGACATTCTTTTGTTTAATTTCTAAGTAAATTTGGAAGTACATTCAAAATTTAAAAAGTGGAAATGAAGGTATGGCCCAAGTTGAGCATCAGTATTGAGAAAAAAAAAAACAAATAAATTGGGCACCAGTGCCTTATTCCTATAATTACAGCTACTCAGGAAGCTGAGACCTGAGGATTGCACATCAAAGCCAGCTTGGGAAAGAATGTCTATGAGAGTTACTTCCAATTAACCATTAAAAACAAAACAAAACAAAACAGCTGATGCTATGGAGAAAATCTAAGGGACAGCACCCAGGTCCTGAGTATAAGCCCTAGTACCAGCACAATAAATAAATAATCAATGAATAAACCAATACAATTAATAGATTAATTAAAAATAATCCTTGTTTCCCTAATTCTTCTTGTTTCTTTCCACTCTTCTAATTCTAGTCTGACCAGCTTCCAATATTGTACTTGCTTTATTAATTAATTTATTCTTACTTTGCTGTATGGGTTGCTTGTTATGCAAACAAATTTTTCAATTATATTTCCTGAATAATAAATTATCTGTCTGCATAGAACATTGAAATTTAGAAAACATTTCACATGTATTTTCTTTATTTGAGTTTTGGAAGGGTTTCTTTTTTTCCTGAGAGAAGGAGCTTTATAGAGCATGCAGTCATGTAACTGTTACTATGTCAGTTTTTAATCTCTTCCTTGACAACACTCTAGCTAGAACTACTATAAAGGGAAATAGATTTTAAGCATTTTCTAATATCTAGCCATCAATCATTTCCCGGTATAATCCTGTGGAGTAATTTAACATTAACCATTTATTTTCTTACTTTTCCTTTGAAAGTAAATCTCCCTGGGAGACATGTAAGACAATTAATTCCTTTCCAGCTTACTTATAGATATACATCCTACAGAATAGGGAAATTAGAAATGATCCTTGGAAATATTTAAAAGCCTGTTTCTGTGTGTGTATATATATATATATATATATATATTTAATTTATTTATTTATTTTGGTTTGCTGGTCCTGGAGCTTGAACTCAGGGCCTGGTCACTGTCCTTAAGTTGCTCTTTGCTCAAGGCTAGCACTCTACCACTCGAGACACAGCACAACTTCTGGCTTTTTCTGTTTATATGGTGCTGAGGAATTGAACCCAGGGCTTCATGCACGTAAGGCAAGCACTCTACCACTAGCCACATTCTCAACCCTCTGTATATTTTTATTTAGTATATTCATACATTAAACAAAGAAAAAGCTAACATTAATAATGAGTTCATGTTTTCATGAGTGACTATTTTTGCAAAACTAAATGGACTCTTGGATGAAATAGATATTTAATAATATCTATGAAATTCATTTATGTATGTTGCCTGTGATTCACTCTCCAAAAGTAACTAAAATTCTACACTTGTGCATGATGAAACTACTTGAAAGGAAGCATACTTCCTTCCTTTCCAACATGGATGACACCCTCATCCTCTCTTTCATTGATTCAGGACTCATGATAATATTGTTCATGGGAAAAAAAAGGACTGACAAAAAATCTGTGTCTATTAGGAAGGATGCTAACTTGTACTCAATGCTTTGCTAATTTTTTTTAGGTTCACAAATACTTTGTACTCACTGGCTATATCATTTTTAAAAGTACAGTCTTCAGTTTGGAGAACTAAAATGTGTTTCTTTCCTTAGGTTAAGCTGAATGAGAGAATTATTGTCACTTCTCAAGGACTCCTGATTCGTGCTGTTCAAGATACTGACCAAGGGCTCTACCACTGCATTGCAACTGAGAATAGTTTCAAGCAGACCATAGCCAAGATCAACTTCAAAGTTTTAGATTCAGAAATGGTGGCTGTTGTGACAGATAAATGGTCCCCATGGACCTGGGCCAGCTCAGTAAGGGCACTACCCTTTCACCCTAAGGACATCATGGGGGCCTTCAGCCACTCTGAAATGCAGATGATCAATCAATACTGCAAAGACACCCGGCAGCAGCAGCAGCCGCAAGGAGAAGAATTGCAGAAGATGAGAGGGGACTATGGCAAATTGAAGGCTCTCATCAACAGCAGGAAAAGTAGAAACAGGAGGAATCAGCTGCCAGAATCCTAAGGTCTTCAATCAAGCTTCTGCTTCCAGCAACAAATGCTCTGTTTGCAATGATCAAATTTTACAATCAATATTGTATTTTACCCATGAAAAGTTCCTGCTAAAAGTCAACTACTCACTCCTAAAGTGAGTTTAATGGGAACTGAAATGAGCATGCATTTTCTTGTATGATATTGACTAGCACTAGACATGTCATGGTCCTCATGGTGCATATAAGTATTTAACTTAACCCAGAATTTATTTATATCTTTACCCATCCTTTCCTCAAAATCAACGTTGGGACTACGAAAGTAGAACTGTTACATCCCTCGATTGAGTGAGGGACAAAACTATGGGCTCTAAGGGTTTCGATTTTTAATTGTCAATGATTTTTATATATGGTAATCAATTCCAGATCACAATCTTCACATAGTGAAAGTTACAGAAATGCATGTGATAGAATTAAAATCAAAAGAAGTGTAGAATAGCTAAATGACAGGGAAGAAGGCAAGGAAATAATTAGTTGATATGTTTTCAGTGAAATATATTATTGTTTTTAAAGATTGTAAAATTGTTGTCAGTTGCTGATAAATGCCATTGATTTTATTCTCATATATCTGGAAGAATAAATAAAAATCTTTGATGGGAGATATATCAGTGAACATTTAGGTTTATATTGTTATGTTATTATCTTCCAAACAAAAGCACTTTTCTTTTTTTGGAAGTGTTTTTAAGTTATTATGGACTTTAGTTTAATTTGACACTATTTATGGCATATTGTTTAGATTTTAATCTTTCTAGTCTGCATGGGATATCAGAATAAGAAAAACATTTTGAAGTAGCAAACCTCTATATGAAGTGTAAAACCACCAGAATGAAAAAGAATAAATGTAGAAAATTTGTTATCAGGAAGAATTTATACCAAATGTGGCTCATATTCAAATTCAGCAGTCAAGTTCTGTGATTAATTCCCATTTTTATAAAACTGAAAATCAAGATGTTAATTTTTTTCAGTCAACATTTCCCTGTTTTATAATCATTTGTTTTTGAGAGATGTCCATTTGTCCAAGAAATAAAAAGATAATATATATGAACAAAATCAGACATCTTGTAAGATGTTTATTTTATTCATAATGTATTGTTTTGTTTAATTTGTTTGAAAGACTATTGGCACTTGTTCAGTCATTTTTAAATGTGATTATGGCAAGTTTTGGGATAATAGATTATCTTAGAATAATATTTGAATAGTTTATTAGAATAATTTAATGCTAAAGTTATTTTATTAAATTTAAAAACTAGATGAGAGAAATAACAGGATTTTCCTCAGGTTCTTCTACTTTAAAAAAAAAACTTTTGCTTTTTTATTTTACTTACTTTGAAGACATTTTTAGGTTTCCAGATATAATTAGAAATTGCACCAAATAGCTTATCAAAATATAATTAAAATATTTCTAGCTAACAATGCAAGATAATCAAAACTGACATATCCCTTTTTAAAAAAATTTCACCATAAAACTTAAAGATGTAAAATTAGGACTAGAGGTGTGGTTTCATTGGATAGCACATGCTTAGCATGAAGTAGGCCTTGACATCAAGGGAAAGAATTAAAATTGCTGTAAAAATCAATGGGTTCATTGATCAGAGTTTAAGAAATGATTGATTTTCCAGTAATGGTAAAATTTAATAATCTAAGAGGAGAACCTCAGTGGTTAAAAAAAAATCAGTGAAAAATGAAAACCATAAAAATCACCTGGAAGAGTTGGGAAGGTGGCTCAGTGGTACAGTGCTTGCCTTGCATGCCCTGGGTTTGATTCCTCAGCACCACATAAACAGAAAAAGCCCAAAGTGGTGCTGTGGCTCAAGTGGTAGAGTGCTAGCATTGAGCTGAAGAGCTGAGGGACAGTGCCCAGGCCAAGGGTTCAGGCAGGCCCCAAGACCATGACTACAAAAAAAAAAAAAATCACCTGGATATATTTACAAAGCTGTTGCTCAAAATGTATGTTATTCTAAAACAGTTTCTAAAGCAGTTTGTTAACCAAATGGCTTGCCTGTTTAAAAAGGAGATGCTTAAATTTTGCCTCTATATGAACACAAAGCAATGTGACATTTGGGGTCAGTGGGTCATGACTGTAATCCTAGGTACTCAGGAAGTATCTGATGATTGTGATTCAAAGCCAACTTGGGCAGAAAAGTCCATGAGACTTATCTCCAATTAACCATCAAAAAAGCTAAAATTGGAGTGGTAGAATACCAGCTATGAACAGAAGAAAACTGAGTGAGCTCAAAGCCCTGAAGTCAAGCCCCAGTACAAGGAAATGAAATAAAATAAAGCAATGTGCTAATGTAAAGCCAAAACCACCCTCTGTGTTTGTAATAAGCCTATTCTATGTCCAAAATCAAGAGTAAAATTGTTTTAGGGTCATCTTCTGGTTTCATATAGTTCCAAATTAACCAACAATAATGCTATTTAATACCTTTTATCTTGACCATTACTAAACTGTATATACTTTATTACTGCTTCTTTGAAAACATTCTAAAACACAATTGCCAAGTGTAAAGGTTTTCTGTATCAAAAATATTGTTAATGTGGACCGTTTATTGGTGACTCTTTCATTTGGGGTAGTTTGGTTTATTAACAGTTTCACATGCTTTCCATTTGCATTGTATATAAAATTTCCTAGAAATGCACTTTTTCTCAAAGTGTAAGTTTGTGAATAGAGTTTTAGCATGATGATTCTATCATTATAGTGAATGTTCACACTCTGTGTAAGAAATCAAACTAAGTGTAGTTACCACACTAACGTTGAGTTGGGAAAGAAAGCATTTGCCTGGCAAAATAAAAACCTATTGAAATTCTCCCAGGGATGTCTTTTGCTCCTTTGTTAATGTAGAGTTTATTTGTGAATAGTCTAGAAACTCCTTATTTATCTAATTTTCCATTTTCATGGGAGGAAAACACCCACAATATTTAGGAATCCCATAGAGAATCATGTATCTATTAACCTTTTGCCATCAGGCCCAACCTAAAAGCCATCCCATGTCATCAAGATTTCTGTCTATTTCCAACGTATCTTATATATGCAAACAGATGTATGTTTGTATCCCTAATATTGCACATACATCCATATCTATATATAGTGTTTTGTCAACATTAATTTTAAAAATCATAGACGTTCACTGGACTTAGGGGAAGACTACCTAGACTTCATCCATTTAGTTTAAGTTTTAAATTACACTCTTCAATAGTACTCTATACAAGTCCATACCTGGGAAATATTAGAAAATGTTACATAGAAAGTATTTAATACATGCCAAATTTCCTTTTCTGGAAGATGATGTCTTCCAACTTCCAGCTGAATTCTATGTCCAGTTAAGATTACAGTGACCTAAATATGTAACTCGACTGTGTAGATCAGCAGCACCTTGCCAGGTAAAATGAGCCTTTGTAAAATTAAGGGGAAAAGGAACCACGGATTAATTCCTGGTTTTGTTAATAGAGTTGAATCACAATTCTTTTCCTGTTCACTGCTAGGTTATCTATCTGTATTAATGTGACTAGAGGAAAAACAGGACAATAAAATTTAAAATTGTCACAAGCAGTCTTGCAGTCTGATGATTTTGTACAACCTGTCAATTGCTTTCATGTTTCTCACACTCTCCCTTGCTTCTATTTTAACCTTACTTATCTTAGAATATTTTAATGTTTCTTTGTAATTTTAAAGAATTGTGATTGTGATATTATGTGCGACTTACCTAAGTGAAATCTTTTAAGGAAAAAAATGAGTCTCTTCTCTTGTATCTATTCTGCTGGTTATAGTCAGGAGAAAATCAAGCTTTTTTGAACAACTGGTTAAGACTACATAAGAGCTTCAGAAATGAAGAGTTTTATTAAATTTTCTGCTTAAAAACAAAGCTGTAGCAGATCGCTGTGAAAAAAAAATCTTTTTAAGAGTTTATTCTACTAACCTTTTAACTGACCACATTTCACACAAGAATCCAAACCCTTCTGCAAAACCAAAACAACTCACAACAAATCCCATATACACATCAACTGGTAAACTTCATTGTTAATAAGTTGTTTTCTTAGGAGTTCTGATATATACTACAAATTTTTATGGCTCCATAACAATGTTAGTGTCCAGGTATCTAGCAAAGAACAACTTCCAAGACCAAAAAAAAAGTTTCATTTTAATGACTCTAATATATTTGTCTATTCACCTCATAAAATTCTACTTTCCAGATAGTTAGAATGGTGTATTTCTCAGGACTATTATGTTGCTGAGCTTGAGTGTTACTTACATAAAGTGCTATTAAAGAATGACATTATAATAAACACATTAAAACTGTTTATTCTATGTAAAGGTACCTGGCATTTCCCAAGAACAAAAGCAGGGTGGATTTCTTTTAAGTGCTTTGTTTTTCCTTACTTCCAAATTGGGCACACACACAAAAAGATGCCATCCAAAGATTTTTATGAGATCAAAGGCACAATTTATGGATGGCAAAATGGATATATGATAAGCGTTGCTATGAGACTGGAAGTCATCACTCTTGTTGCTCTGGATATTTTTCAGCATTCATATGATGCTTGGTTCATGACATGTGTGTAATTTCTTGCTTTCTAAATTTTTTTGCGTAGTGCATGCCTACAACTTTAAAAGAAGAAAAGGAAATTGTATGTTTTAGATTGTACTTATTTATTTATTTATTTGTTTATTTATTTATTGTTAGTCTTGGGGCTTGAACTCAGGGCTTGGGTACAGTTCCTGAGCCTCCTTGTGTTTAATGCTAGCACTGTGCCACTGAGCCACAGTGCTACTTCTGGGTTTTTCTGAGTAGTTTATTGGAGTTGGATAAGAGTATCACAAACTTTTCTGACCTGGCTGGCTTTGAACCATGATCCTTAGCTTTCAGCCTCCTCAGTAGCTAGGAATACAGTCATGAGCCACCAGCATGCAGTTTAGTTTTTCTGTTTGTTTGTTTTGAGGGTAATTTAAAAATTATCACTTCTGTTCTCCATTGTGAGCACTCACAGAGGGACTTCAGATCTTTAAAGTCCCTGAGGTGATATGAGTTGCTAGTTATTTGATCCTTTTTAATATCCACAGGCATTTTTCCTCATAGTAGGAAAACTGGGTCCACAGGAAAACTGACATCCAAGCCCTACAAGTCTGGGGACCTTGATGCAATCCTGGATACATCTTTATGTGCATGTATACAATGTGTGTATTCAAGGTTTGTTTGCCTATAAATTCAGAAGCCAGCTCTGTTCAATTTACTTATTATTGCGCATAAATGTCAATTTTCTGCTTCAAATTCCTGTTCCACTTCTAAAAGTATAACCTGGAAATTATTTTTATTCATATCTCCAATGGATTATTACATTCTACAGAATAATTTCATGGAATAAGTGTGCTATGAGAATTAAATTGAGATGTGGAGTTTTTATCACAGGCCATTATTTTTCAGTCAGGGAAGCAAAGCCATTTCTTTTGGAGCATTATTTTTTGTTAGGAGTGCTTTACATGCTGTGCAACATGTTTATGCCTAATCCTAGAAGCTTTCGACAGGGAAAAAAAAATCAGAACAAAGGAAACAACTATCAACTAGAAATCTAGAGTCTAGATTTAAGAGTTGACACCCACTCATCTGACTGTATAGAGAATTGTAAAAATCTCACCTGGAGTGCGCCTTTGAAATAGGGAGAAAGGGAGAAATGAGCTATGATTTAATCCCTGAGGGTGAGGAGAGATTAGTACTGAGTGGGTATGCTCTAGAAGAGAAAAGTGAACCCCAAGAAGAACACCTCAGAGGTGGTCCTGGAGCTGGAACTGTCAGGAGTGATTTGCTACTCAACAGAATTATACCTGGACATAATTAGCCATCCACCTAAACATTCACACAGAAGACTGCAAAGGCTCAAACAGCCATGTGCGTAAGATTATTTGAAATAATGCTTATGAGAGTTACCTCCAAGGAATGGAAGTAAAAAGTTGTTTATTATTATTATTATTCTGTTTGTGTTTTTTTTCTTTTCTCTTCTGTCTTCTTTTGTTTTTCTCTAGTTTATTCCCTCTCTCACTGTTTTTGATTTCTG